TTTGTTTTAGCTCAGACTGGCCCTAAACTCAGTAATTCTGCCTCAGTCTCCCAAGTGTTAGAATTAGAGGCATGAGTTACAATGCCTGGCTTGTGTTTTTCCTTTTTTGTTTAAAATTTAAGATGGCGTCTTTTAAGATTTTTATTTTATTTTTATGTGCATTGGTAGTTTTTTGCCTGAATGTATGTCTGCAAGGGTACCAGATCACCTGGAACTGGTGTTACAGACAGTTGCTTTGATCTATTTCTTCAGCCCCAAGATAGGCTCTTAATGTATGTAGCCCAGGATGGCCTCAAGCTCACTGTGTAGCTGAGGATGGCCTTGATCTTCTGGTCCTTCTGTCTGTCAGTGCTGGAATTGCAGACCTGTTAGCAGCACCTGCCGTATGTCAGGCCTTATACGCAAGATGAGCACTCTCTTCACGGAGTCACATGCCCAGCTTCTCAAGATGCTGCTGGGCATAGGAGTATGAGATGAGGCTCAAAACAGGAGTCATGTGTGCAGGGAAGCTTTACTTACACCAAGTATTTTATATTTGTTTTGTTTTTAAAATAATTTTTAGATATATTTAATATGTATGAGTGCTTTTATTTGTTCATTTTTAAAAATTTTATTTCTTAAGGTTATTTTATGTATACTGTGTTCTATCTGCATATACACCTGCAGGCCAGAAGAGGGCACCAGATCACATTATTGATGGCTGTAAGCCACCATATGGTTGCTTCAACTCAGGACTTCTGGAAGAGCAGTCAGTGCTCTTAACTGCTGATCCATTTCACCAACCTCTAATGCTTGTATTTATGAGCTGTCTGTGTCTGTGTATATCTATCTATCTATCTGCCTGCCTGCCTGCCTGCCTGCCTGCTTGCCTGCCTGTCTTCAGAGACCAGAGGACATTAGATCCTCTGGCATTGGAGCTACAGATGGTTGTGAGCCACAGGTGGGCACTGGGAACCAAGCCCAGGTCCTCTGCAAGAGCAACAAGTGCTCTTTATTGCTGTGCCACTTCTCTAGCCTGACGAGATGTGTTTCAAAGGCTAGCCTAAAACTTAACTGTAGAGCAAAGGCTTGAGTTTGTGCTGACATCCCTGGTTCTGCCTCTCTAGTGGTGATATTATAAACCTTAAAGTAGTTCTGGTTTTTTAATCTTTAAAGCATTTTACACTTCAGCTGAGCGGTGGTGGTGCACGCCTTTAATCCCAGCATTTGGGAGGCAGAGGCAGGTGGATCTCTGTGAGTTCGAGGCCAGCCTGGTCTACAAGAGCTAGTTCCAGGACAGGCTCCAAAGCTATAGAGAAACCTTGTCTCAAAAAACAAACAAACAAAAAAACAAAAAAAAATTACACTATGTGTATGTTTACAGGTATGCCACAGATGCACATGGTGGGGTGGGGAGGGTCAGGGTATCAGTTCTCTCCTACTGCGTGGGTTCCAGAGACCAAACCCAAGTTATAAGCCTTGGCAGCAAGTGTCTATCCATTGAACCTTTTCTTTTGTTCTTTCGAGACAGGGCTTCTGTGTATAGACCAGGCTGGCCTCGAACTCACAGAGATCTGCCTGCATCTGCCTTCCTAGTGCTGTGTGTATACACACAGATACCATGAGAATAATTATTTAAAAATAAACGAATGAATAAATGATGTATTTTTTTTTGTTTGTTTTTTTGAGACAGGGTTTCTCTGTGTAGTTTTGGAGCCTGTCCTGGACTAGCTCTGTAGACCAGGCTGGCCTTGAACTTGCAGAGATCCACCTGCCTCTACCTCCTGAGTGCTGGCATTAAAGGTGTACACTACCATTGCCCAGCTAAGAGATGTGTTTTTAATGTATGTAAACCATAAGATTGGGCTGGAGAGATGGCTCAGTGGATAAAGGCTTCTGCCTTCAAACCTCTGGAGCCCACGTGGTAGAAGGAGAGAACTGACTCCCCAAGTTGTCCTGTGACTACATACATATGTACATACACATACGTAATAATATGTCTAAAAACTGTAGGCAGGGTGTGGTGGCTCACATCCTCAAGCCCACCCTGGTCTACAGAGTGAGTTCCAAGACAGGGCTACACTGAGAAGCCTGCCTGCCATAGTCCCTAAGGGAAGTCCCTACTTTAACACGAGGTTATTTGCATAGCAAAAGCCCCTGTGACTTCCTGTAATCCCAGTGCCTGGGAGACAAAGGTGAAAGGATTGAAAGTTCAAGACCAGTCTGGATGGGGGCTGGAGAGATGGCTCAGTGGTTAAGAGCATTGCCTGCTCTTCCAAAGGTCCTGAGTTCAATTCCCAGCAACCACATGGTGGCTCACAANCCTTGGGGGAGGTTTGAAGGGGGGAGGGAAGAGGCAGGAAGGGGAGCAGAGAAAAATGTAGAGCTCAATAAATATCAAAAAAAAAATGGTCAGCTGGGGGCTGGAGAGATGGCTTAGAGGTTAAGAGCATTGCCTGCTCTTTCAAAGGTCCTGAGTTCAATTCCCAGCAACCACATGGTGGCTCACAACCATCTGTAATGAGGTCTGGTGCCCTCTTCTGGCCTTCAGGCATACACACAGGCAGAATATTTTATACATAATAAATAAATAAATAAATAAACAAACAAACAAACAAATAAATAAATATTAAAAAAAGACCAGTCTGGGCTTTTTAGCAAGATGCTGTCTCAAAGTGGTTTTTTTTTTATTTTTTATTTTCTTTTTTATTGAAATCTAGGAATTTGAGGCCAGCTTGATCTATAACGAGTTTTAGGACAGCCAGGACTGTTACACAAAGAAACCGTGTCTTTAAAAAACAAAAACAAAAAAGCTAGGAATTGGCTGGGCATGGTGGTGGTCTGTGCCTTTAATTCCAGCACTGGAGAGGCAGAGGTACTTGGATCTCTGAGTTCAAGGCCAACCTGGTGTATGTAGAGTTCCAGGACAGCCAGGGCTCTGTAGAGAGACCCTGTCTCTAAACAAACAAAAAAACTAGGAATTGTAACTCAGGGGTAGAGTGCCTGCCTGCCTTGCGTGTACAGGGTTTTAGTACCACAAAAACAAATAAATGAAATAAAAATAGAAGTTGGATAAGGTAAACAGTTCTCCTGTCATCTCAAGTGCCCTCCCTGTGGTTCAGGAGGCCGGGAGTCACAGGATGAAACCTGGTGTTTAGATCTGACCTCATTACCAGCTGGTACCCGCAAGGAGGGCACTCATTACAGCATCACCCTCTTGCGGGAACCTGGCAAGATTTTGCTTTTCAAAACTCAAGATAATAGGGCTGTAGAGGCAATGGGCAAAACACCGCCTTGCCTGATTGAGGACTAAAGTTATGATCCCCGGAATCCATATCAAAAGCCAAGTTGCAGCCGGGCAGTGGTGGTGCACATGCCCTTGGTCTCAGCACTCCAGTGATAGAGGCAGGTGGATCTCTGTGAGTTTGAGGCCAGGGCCACAGAGAAGTCCTGTCTCAAGAAACAAAACAATAACAACAACAAAGCCAGGTTGGGTATTGGAGAGATATCCAAGAGGTTAAGAGCATTGGCTGCTCTTCCAGAGGACCTGAGTTCAATTCCCAGCAACCACAAGGTGGCTCACAAACTTCTGGATCTCTACTTCCAGAGTATGCAACACTCCATTTTGGCCTCCGAGGGCGCCACACAACGCATGTGGTGCATATACATACATGTAGGCGGAACGCCCATATGAACAAAATATTTTTTAAAATCCAGGTGAAAGCCAGGTGGTGGGAGGCAGAGAGGGGCAGGCGAATCTTTGCATTTGAGGCTAGCTTAATCTGCATATCGAGTTCCAGTACAGACAAGGCTAGGGCTACTTAGACCTCTTTAAAAACCAAACAAACGAAGCCAGATGGGCAAGGTGGCCAGCATTTAATCCCATTGCAATAATTGTTTTATTTCCAGTTTGTCACCTGCTCACATATCCAGCAAACTTTGGTTTGTTTGAGACAAGGTCTCTTGTAACTGAGGTTGGCCTCAATGTCACTGTAACCAAGGATGACCTTGAACTCCTGCTCCTGTTGGCACTACCTCCCAGGTGTTAGGATTAGGTATGAGTGCCAGCGTACCCTGCCCAGTAAACTTGGCTTTGTTTTTTGGTTTTAGAGACGAGGTTTCTCTATGTAGCCCTGCCTTTTGTGCAGCTTGCTCTGTAGACACGGCTGGCTTTGAACCTGAAGATTCTCTTGCCTCTGCTGGGATAAGGGTGTGCACTACTGCTAGACTTCGGCCCTTAGTAACATTTTAATAGCATTTTCTAAGCGCTATCTAGGTTTAGAGACAAGATCATAACTTGCTCCCAGCTACCGTGGAGCCAAGTGCAGAAAACAAGCCGCACGGGATCGGCAGCACACCCGCCTGTGCTCACACTCCTGTGTGTGTGTGTCTTTGCCTCCCTCCAGACTAGAGCACTCCCACCAAGGAGAAATAGACCTTTTAGTTTTAAAGATCTATTATCTGTGTGTGTACATGTCTCTGTGTGTATATGCTCACACATGTGAGTTTGTGTCCATGAGTGGTGGCCAGAAGAGGGTGTTTCCACTTATTTCCTGAACCTTGGCTGACAGCCAGATAGCTACAGTAATCTTTCTGTTGCCATCCTTCTCAGAGCTGTAGTTACAGGTGTTCTTGAGATGTCCAGCTTATGATGTGGCCGCTCAAATCCAAACTCTGGTCCTTGTGACTGTGTAGCTAGTGCAAAACCAATAACAGTTTATGTGCTTATTTTGTGGAGTGGGGGCACGCTCACCATCTCAGGGTGTGGGGGTTGTGTTCTTTGGTCTGAGAAAGGATGGTACATTCATATACGAGGGGCCCTCCTGCCTTGCCTCTGCTGTCAGGAGATTTGGTGTTGGCTGAAGCCTAAAGGATGCTTTGACAGATTATAAGGCCATGGAACTGTGTGTATAAAGGAGGCCTGGGAGGCACTCCGTTTCTCGGTGAGCCCTACCTGGTGGATGAACAACCCTTTCCTTCCTGTCCCCGCTGACCCTGACCACTGTGGTCTCTGTCTCCAGGTCCGAACACTGTTTGTCAGTGGCCTCCCTGTGGATATTAAGCCTAGAGAACTCTACTTGCTCTTCCGGCCGTTCAAGGTGAGTCAGGACCCGGGAGCCCCCAGAGCCCAGGATCAGGGATGAGCAGCAAGAATGAATCTCTGCTGTGGACTGAACTGCAGAAAGGTGTATCAGAAACTGAGCTCGCAGACCTGGCTCTATCTATGACGGTTCTGCTGAATCTCGTCTTGTGCCAGTTTCCTGGCCCTGCTGAACCTCAGTTTACTCATCTGTAAAGTGGAGACGGTAAAGAATCCTAACAGACTTTGCCATGTGAGGAGTTCTGGAGATTCAGTGTAGCCACACACACACACACACACACACACACACAGTTAGTAGAGCATTCAGGAGTGTGCCCTGGGTACCACTGTACCATGTGATTCAGCAGGAACTCAGCCTCGGTGAGGGGTTACCTCCAGGGAACCACTGAGGAAAGATGAGGCTGATGGGGAGACAGTGCTAGGGTTAGCACAGTAACAGCTTCTGACCCCTGAAATGGCCACCTCTCTCCACAGGGCTATGAAGGGTCCCTGATCAAGCTCACTTCAAGACAGGTAATTTCTCTCCTAGGTGTTTCCTCCCAGCCCAGACTAACTCCTGGCAGAACTGAAACCTTTTTCCTACTGTTTGAAAGCATCTGAAGGCAGAGACCCACTCCATGCTGTCTTGTTGCTGTCCTGACAGAAGGACAGCCTTCACAGTTCCCTCATCTTTTCTAGTCAGCTGGGCCCTGTCAGCCTCTGTCCTTGTCTGGCTCTGGCATTCTGCCTGACCCCCAAGGCTGAAGACATTAGAGATAGTAGCTGAGCTCTGACCTCCTGCAGGAGACCAGAGCCCAAAGCCTTCAGGGGCCACTGGGAGTCTGAAGACAGTTTTCAACCTTCCTTGTCTACTTCTGTGGTTGTGGTTACAGCTCAGTGATAGAACACTTACCAGACATGTGCCAGACCTAGGTTTAATCCTCAGATTTGCTTTAAAAAAAAAAAAAAAAAGGTACAGAAAAGGTGATATTAAATGGTATTAATGACCCATGGAATAGTGCTGCGTTGACATCCTTTCATGGTGTGGTACCCAGAAGGGAGACTTAACTTAGATGCTTGTGAATCCTGAATCTTCCAGACTTATCTTAGGGAGGATATGCCCAAGAGCTTTATTTCTTCTGTGTCCTCTAACCAACAGGGCAGATAGTGTTTCCACTTAGGTGATGGATTTTATTTTTATATTTGTGGTACTGTGGGTGGGGAGGTCGAGTCCAAAGCCTTGAACATGCTGGGTGAGTTCTGCACATGGGGTGCACACATGGAAGGCTGGAGACATGCAAGGGTGTTCTTTCTTCCTTCCTACTAGCCTGTTGGTTTTGTGATCTTTGACAGCCGGGCAGGAGCAGAAGCAGCCAAAAATGCGTTGAATGTGAGTAGACCCACAGACCTCTGAAGCAGCGATTGTCCCATTTCTGTCCACTGCAAATCTCCCCCACTGCACTCTCAATAAACACATGGATTTTTATTTCCCACCCGTCCCAGGGCAGAATCTCTGACTGCCTGGTTTGTGATGCGTGTCGTTACTCAAGGTCAGCGCAGTATTCCCTCTGCTGCAGCCCTGGGTGCACGTCTTAGAGGAAAACTTGCTTCTGGGGTCCTGTGTATTGATGGCAGTTGGCAGTATGGGTGCTTGTACGAGTCGCTCTTCCTTTTCTTCCCGTTCAGGGTATTCGCTTTGATCCGGAGAACCCACAGACCCTGAGGCTAGAGTTTGCCAAAGCCAACACCAAGATGGCCAAGAGCAAGCTAATAGCGACACCAAATCCCACCAGTGTCCACCCTGCCCTAGGAACACATTTGATTGCACGGGACCCTTGTGAGTGGACCTCTGATCTTCTTTCTCCTGTCCTTTGGGTTTGTCCTGGCCAGCAGGTTCTCCTTAAACTGCATATATTCAGATCCTAAGAGAAGTTATCAGTCATGTCTCCTTTTCTGGGGCCTTCTTCATCTATAGCCACCGCCTTGAGACTTAGCAATCTACTTCCTCCTGTGGCCATTTGTAGACTCAGAAAGGCTGGGCTCCTGGGCGGTCAGGGCTGCGCTATTTCCTTGAAGCCTTTTTGTAATTTCTCTTTCTTAACACAGGCTGTCTATGGCCTGCTTCCAGTAATAGGGTATTGGCTATGCTGAGCAAGTTCACAGGGCTTCTTTCCCTGGCCTTGGGGCATGGGGAGTATGGTTCAGTTATCGTGCTGGGTCCCCTTTTCTGTTTGAAAGTATGCGGTGAGAGGAGGGACCAGTGTTCTGATGATGGAGTTCTGTCTCCTGTTGTAGATGACCTGATGGGGGCTGCACTGATTCCTGCATCCCCAGAGGCCTGGGCCCCTTACCCTCTCTACACCACAGAGCTGACCCCAGCCATTTCACATACTACATTCACCTACCCAGCTGCTACTGCTGCCGCCGCTGCCCTACATGCTCAGGTAAGCTATTCAGGTGGACGAGAAGGCTCAAGACAGACAAGTGGGGGTCTGCCTACCTTGTCATAGGCTGCTCCTGCCCCTGGGGCTGCAGCAACAGAAGTGTCTTCTGCCAGGAATGTTAGCGCATGTCCCTAATCTTATGATTTAGGAAACTGAGACAGGAGGAGATTGCTGGGATTTGAAGACAGCCTGGAAATGTGAAACTTGGTGTACAAAGAAAAACAAAACAAAAACAATCTCACAAACTGTTGTCTTCGTGGGTATTTTGAAAGCTCAGGCTCTGAGGATCTATCTGCTTGTCCGGAGTACAAACCAAACTGGGGACACGTAGGCGGATCTGCTCTGCCTTTTCCTGTCTTTATAAGCTTTATCAAGCTTTTACTTTTTTACTCTGAGAATTAGAATAATATACAGATTGTTCGGAGAGTTACACAATAAAGGCCAGAACTTTGCCTGGATATCTTAGAACTCCTGCTTCTTCTGTTTATTTATTTATTTATTATTTATTTTTGTGGTGGTGGTTTGTTTTTAATTACATTTATATGTGTGTCCTGTGTGTGCAGAGACCATAAGACAATTTTTGGAAATCAATTCTCTCTACCAAGTGGGTTGTAGGAATCAAACTTAGGTCATCCGTTTGGGAGCAAGTGTTTTTACCCACCCAGTCATCTTGACGGTCCCGTTCGCTGGTAGATTTTGTTTGTTTATTTATTTTGTTTTGTTGATAGATTTATTTATTTAAGTTTTTTTTAACAGGATGAGTGGGGAGACTCATCTAGCCCAGGCTGGCCTTGAACTCCTGATACTCCTGCCTCTCTCTCAAGTGCTGGGGTCATGCAACAGCATGCCTACCTATGTTTTACTTTTTTGAGACAGTCTTGCTATGTAGGCCAGGCTGGCCTTGAACTGTTGGTAATGCTCCTATCTCAACCTCCCAAGTATTGGGATTACAGGTTTGGGGACTGGGCACTGGGGCAGAAAAAAAGACAGCAACCATTTGTAGGGGAAGTTTGTGAGAGAGGAGACTGGGCCCAGAGCAGGGTGTCACTGTTGTTTCTGCTGCTGGCCATGCAGACCTTTACTCTGTTCCAACCACTACAGACTGGGCCTTGACGTGGCCATCCAGCATGGGGATTTCCTAGACTGTCAGGAGAAGAGCACATGGAGGTAGCTGCTTGGTCCTGACCTGGGTAGCGGGAAAGGGAAGGAAAAGCTTGAGGGGGAGAGTTCACAGAGAGCAGGAACTGCAGTTAGGACAACTAGGCACACCTAGGAGATGAGGCACGGGAGGCAGCGGCAGGCCGATCTCTGTGAGTTTTAGGACATCCAAGACAGGGAAACTGTCTTCAAAAAACAAAAAAGCATCCTTGTCTGGGACCTGAGTCCATGTCCATTCCTAGGTCTTTGGAGGGGCTTAGCAACACAGGGGTTGTCCTCTCAATGTGGGAAAAGGTCAGGTGCTACCATCTTAGCACGGTTACCTCAGCAGGGAAGTCTGTTTTCATTGTACTGGGGCCACACTGTAGTTAAACGTGGTGCTTTCTCCAGTTGAGTGTCCTGGACAGCTGGAAAATTCCTCTGGGATAGCCAGGGTCTTCCAGAAGGAAGGTGTATTAACATAGGAGTCAGGAGGGAGATGGGGAAACCTTTTCTCTGTGTGTGCCCTGGGCAGGTCTGAGTGCTCTAGGCTAAGCTGGTAGCTTTCAGAGCAGGAGCAGTGCAAGGTACTGGTTCCTGGCCTGTGATCCCAGCTCTGCCACCAATTAGCTATATGAGCTTTACCTTTGGCCTGTAGTGTGTCATTTGTGAAGAGCCAGAGACAATGGTTTGTCAAACCCAGGAGACATTCCTCTGCTCTGCTGGCGGGGAGTGCTACCCTGCTGCCAGTCCCAAACGGATGAACCTTCACCTGAGATAGGCATTATGGCTTCTGCCTTTAATTCCAGCTAGCATTAGGGAGGTGGAGGCTAGAGGGTCAGGAGTTTAGGGCCAGTTTTGACTGTATAGCAGATTTGAAGCCAGCCTGTGCTGCACTGAAACTCTGTCTCAACAAAACTTTCCTTCTAAGCAAGAAGGCACGAAAGTATGTGTGGCCACAGACTCCCTTGCCTGTCTTCAGTGTATGGGGCTCTTGACAATCCAGGTGAAATTCATGAATGAAAATTCAGAGCAGCACATGGCACAATCACCTCAAACATTCAAGCTCCTACAGATCTACATTTAGGAAGAAAACCACACAGATTGGGTTTAACATTGGCCTATCCTACTTCAAGGAAACCTTTTTCTTTTTTGTTAAAAAGCCTTAAACTCTGGCAGTCCTCCTTCCTCTGCCTCAGTGCTGGAATTTTTTGGGTTGCAGGAACCAAACTCAGGTCAGTGGGCCTATGTGCTTGTAGCCACTGAGCCATCTCACTGATCCTGGATGAAATATTATTTTAGTTGGTTTTCTGGCCAGTGAGGCTCCCATCCTTATTGGTTATTTATATTTTTTTCTCATATAGGCTCATTCCTTTTTGGTAGACTTTAGTCCTAAGATCTGTGAGGGGGACTGAGGCTGTACCCCCTTCCTCTTGTCCTCACGTTCTCTTCTTTCTTGGCAGCAGCCCTTACGTAGGATGGGGAGATCCCTCAGGTAGCTGTGAGCAGCTGAAGGCCCCGAGAATCGGATGAGACTACAGGGTCCCTCACACTGCTGGGCCTGGGTGGTGCCATGCATTGAGCTAGGGCAGGAAGAGGAGAGGAAGAAAGAGATTGGGCTGCTTCTAGAGGAACCCATGCCACAGGCATATGCAGACATATTCCACGGCAATCCACTGAGCACATCCATTCAAGTGCATTCCTTCTGCATCAGTGGCCTAACTGCTCTGGGTCCATAAGTGCCCCAACCCCCACCCCAAGACACCCTAAGATATCTTGACTCGGGGGCTAAGGAACTGCTGCTGTAGTTTGAGCACCTGGGGGAGTGAGCATGGGAAGACTTTCAAACAGCCACCTGAGGTCGGTCTCAGCCCCCTCGTGTGGTCCCGTGGGCTCCCAGCCAGTCAGGTACTAATGTGGGTCTGTTCCAGCTGGGTGAAGGGTGGCAGGCAGAGCCCGTGAGGAGATTCTGAGCTGCCTAGAGCCCCGAGCTTGTCTGCTGGCAATACTGCTTCTAACTCTTACATCCTTGCCTGTGAGTAAGTTCTAGTGTCTAGCTGGGCATCCAGCTTCGAGGGTATCCCCAGCCCAGCCATGGGCCAGAGGAACCTTCCTTAGAGCTGTCAGCCAGGAGAAGGAAGAGCCGGCCCTGCTATGTGCCAGGTGGCAAGTGTTAGGATAATCAGCCCTGACTTCCCGTCATCCTGGGAGGGTGTGCTGGCCCAAATGGTGTTCTCTATGAGCCACATGTAGAGTTGGAAGAGTCACAGGAGCAGCTCCTAGGGCAGTCCCCTCGGCCCAGAGGGCCTGGCATTGGTCATAACCAAGAGCATGCAGCCAAGTGGGCTAACTGGGTCTGTATGCCCAGCTTCTCGCCCGTTCTCTACAGGGGCTCTTAAGTACCACCCCACTCTTTCCCAGGGGAACTCTAGGCCCCCCTGGATGCTCAGATCCCACTTTTCCACCAGGCAGCTTTGGGTCAGGCTGGGGCTGACATGCTCCTTGGCGTGTGTACCTGGGGCAGGTGCCTTCCCTGAAGCCTTTGGCAGCAGCTCAGTTGTCCTTGCCAGGTGTCTAGCTCACAGAGAGGGATCCATGCCATTTTATTGACCATTCTCTGGGAATCCAACCTTGGGGCTGCTGCCCTGTGGGGCTTTCTGCGATTGCCACATTTTAGGTAGCTGCAGACCCAGGCAAGGATAACCTGAGGCTGTCAACTCCTGCCTGAAACCTCAGAGGTTTAAAGTCTCTGAATTTATGAACCTTGTAATATGGGAAAGACAGAAAGGTCAGAAATAGCTGCACTGAAGAATTGCCAGGGCTTTGCATGGAGACCCACGCCTTGAAGACCACACTGGTTTTAGTTGTTTTACCTCCTGTCCTGCTTACTCTCTATAGCCTTGTTTGTTTTGTAAATAGACCAAGAAACAGATCCAAGCCGGTGGTGGTGGCACATGCCTTTAATTATAGCCCTTGGGAGGCAGGGAAGGTGGAACTCTGAGTTTGAGGCCAGCCTGGTCTAGTTCCGGGACAGGCTCCGAAGCTATAGGGCATCCCAGTCTCAAAAAAAAACCTAAAACAAGCAAACCAAAAAACCCAGAACCAAGCTGGGTGGTAGTGGTGCAGGCCATTAACCCCAGCACTTGGTAGGCAGAGGCAGATGGGTCTCTGAGTTCGAGCCAGCCTGGTTTACAGAGCTAGTGTCAGGACAACTGAGTCTACCCAGAGAAACCCTGTCTCCGGGGTGTGTGTGTGTGTGTGTGTGTGTGTGTGTGTGTGTGTGTATTGAAAACGATTCAAAGAAACAGCACAAAATGTGTCAAGCTCATTCTCCTGTTGAGACTTTCTCAGGCTAGGCATCACAGTTGACAGAGTGTTTGCCTGACCTTCATGAAGCCCGGGTTCAACCCTCAGTGCTACATAAAACACAGATTTTCACTCCTGTAATCTCAGCACTCAAGAGATGGGGGCAAGATTAGAAATGCAAGGTCATTTATTTATTTATTTTTCAAGGTCATTTTTACTAATATTGGTAAGTCAAGGGATTCATGAGATCCTGTCTCAGAAAAATACCCAAACACCAATGGCCTGGTAGACAATTGCTGCCAAGCCTGATATCCCGAGTTCAGTCCCTGGAGCTCATTTGCCGAAAGAAGACCGACTCCCACAGTTTGTGCTATTTAACCTCCTCACATATGCTGAAGCATGCATATATATACTTGTGGGGTCCAAATGCTGGCATGTCCTCCTCATGGAACCCTGACCCGCAGAGGAGGCAGGCCAGCTAGTGTTTTTCCATTATCAGGAGAAAGAAGCTGATGCTTAGAGGTGAGTAACCAACTGGTGCTGGCTCTCACTGGGTGCTCAGTGACAGCCTGACAGCCTGGACAACCACAGGACCTCTGCTCAGATTCACCCAGCTCCTGCTGAGGGCTGAAGTGAGCAGGCAGCTGGCACATGTTCCCTGACAGTGGCTTCTCTTGCAGGTGCGCTGGTACCCCTCCTCGGATACCACTCAGCAAGGATGGAAGTATCGCCAGTTCTGTTAGCTCCTCAGTAAGTGTTGGCTGCAGAGGTCAGCACCTCCACACTGGCTGCTCACATGGCTGTGGGTCCTCTGGTGCTGAGCGCTTGCTAGGGCTGTTGGCTCCAGAGCCTGTTCCTTTCTGTCCTCTTCCTGTCACCTGGCATCCCCTTCTGCAGCCTCCACAGCCAGCTCCCATTCTACTCTGCTCATGGCCACCTCTCTCCCCTCCCTTCAGGTCTTGTCGCCCTGGAGTGGGGCCTGTGCGGAACTGCTGCTTCCCTCTAGATCTACACTGTGAATCTGAAGCCTGACGTTCTCCCAAGGCCTTCCAGGCGGGTCGGGAGGCTGTCTTGCTGGGATCCCACACCTAGGCCCAGCTTGCCGGCTTCATTGGGAACCCAGCACAGCCTGACCTCCTGCTCAAACTTACTTCTGTAGTCCCCATCAAGGAAAAGGAACGTTTAATTTTGCATGTTTATGAATTGTGACACTTAAACTTGTGCATACGAGTGTACGGTTTGTTCCCGCACTGTTGCCATAGCAACAGGTCTTGGCACTGGAGGCTTGTCAAGCCTAGTCTCTCTTCTCTCCACTCCTGACTCCTACATCACCCTACTTCAGGGAGGCCTGAGTGTCCCCCTCCGCCCCACCCCGCCCCTCACACATGCTCACACACACACCTGCAGTCTCCATCCTCTCCTAGCAGCAGATCCGCAGCCTCTCACCTTCACTTCTGATTCAGAGTCCTGCGCTGCCTCCTTCTCCGTGGGCTGACAAGCCTAAGACACCTTCTTTGTGCTTACCTCCCCCAGTGCACCCCACCCTGCCACTGCTCTTCATCTTCCTGAACTTTGAAACCAACCAAAACGTGAAAAGTATTTTTGTACCCTGTGTAACAAAATATTTATGGATCATAAAGGGTTTTTCATGTGTTTACCATTAATTATTGACGAGACCTTGTTCAGCCTGTCGGATAAGTTTAATGTTTAGTTTGAAGCATGAAGAAAGGGGTTTCCGTTCCTTAGCAGTCGGCCTTTGTGCCAGGCGTTGGTTTAAGAAGAATGAGATGAAGGATAAATTGTGCAATTTTGATTTATTTTAAAGCATGTCTGTGCTTTATACCTTTAACCTCAGCTCGGGTGTTTGGCCTCTTTGGACTGTGGGTGATGTCTGGAGGTGGCTCTTGTAATTGCTGACCCTGTGAGAATGTGAAACTGGATCATAAATGAAATGCAAAATAAAAACCTGAAGTGACTGCTGATTTTTTTGCTTGTATATTCCATGGGATCCAGGCTGCCAGGCCGAGGGATGACCAGAGGGAAGCCAGGAACAGTCTTGGCCCGGGGGCTCTCTGGCTGGGGGTACCTCAGAGTTGCTCCTGTTATTGTAGAAGTTATTGCCTCTTGTAGTTAGCTGCGAAATCAGTCCCAGAGTGAGGAGTGACCTGCACCAGGGTCATACAGGTGCCCGCTGATCGTCATCCCATCGTGCACAATGAGTTCTGAGGGCAGAAGCCTTAGTCCTCGTACCCAGTCAGGGACCTGAGTGTGCCTTTCTCTACCTTCCTTCACCCTCCTGCCCTGTGGTCCTCTCAAGCTGGTGTGCTAGCTTCCCTCTTTAGAGTCTGATCTTGGTGTGCATCTGTGAGGCTGGCCTGTGGCAACAGAGGAGACCCACAAACCTTGCCCATGACAGGTTAAACTAACTGTGCTGTTGGGTGTAGACTGCAACTGATAACCCGGGAAGAGAGCAGAAGACCCCTGAGGTGGCTGTGCTGAGAGCCTGGGGTGGCTTGGACAGGGTGGTCAGGAGGCTGTGGCCACCCGGACTCTTGTATGACATCGGGTTTCAGTTTAATGAGAGAAGTGGCTTGAAATCTTCTCCAGCTCCTGCTGGACGACGGCTGGAGTTCTGAGTTTGCTTTTTTGTCCACCCTGGTCCTGGAGAGCAGGGCCAGTAGAACGGAGCTTGCCTCCTGCTGCTTCCCACTGGGCAAAGCTCCAGTGGGTGTGGCTGTAGCAGTGGCTGTGGCTGTAGCTGTGGCTGTAGCTGTGGCTGTGGCTGTAGCAGTGGCTGTAGCAGTGGCTGTAGCTGTGGCTGTGGCTGTAGCTGTGGCTGTAGCAGTGGCTGTGGCTGTGGCTGTGGCTGTAGCTGTGGCTGTATAGCTGTGGCTGTGGCAGTGGCTGTAGCTGTGGCTGTGGCTGTGGCTGTGGCTGTGGCTGTAGCAGTGGCTGTAGCAGTGGCTGTGGCTGTAGCTGTGGCTGTGGCAGTGGCTGTAGCTGTGGCTGTGGCTGTGGCTGTATAGCTGTGGCTGTGGCAGTGGCTGTAGCTGTGGCTGTAGCAGTGGCTGTGGCAGTGGCTGTAGCTGTAGCAGTGGCAGTGGCTGTAGCAGTGGCAGTGGCTGTAGCTGTGGCAGTGGCTGTAGCTGTGGCAGTGGCTGTAGCTGTGGCTGTGACAGTGGCTGTGGCAGTGGCTGTGGCAGTGGCTGTAGCTGTAGCAGTGGCTGTAGCTGTGGCAGTGGCTGTAGCTGTGGCTGTGGCTGGCCCTGGTTGCATGGATGACTGACACCTCAGCCCTTCTCTTATGTGGCTTGGGTCTAGGGTGTTAATTGCTGACAAGTTGGAGTGACATATATCTAGGTGCTGAGTGGGCTAGAGGAAAACACAGGCTTTGTAGTAACTTGGGGGTGTCAGGAGGGAAGGTACCTGCACTCGTACCAGGAAGGAAAGGAATTGGGCCTTTCTAGTATCCCTCACTGGTGTGTGATCTGGCCAAGCAAGCAAAGGCCTTCCTGACTTGAAGCTCCTTCTCCCACAGGGAAGAAGCTGTTGCATGCTTGACAGCCCCTCCTAGAGCCAAGCCATGGTCTGACCTACTTCAGCTGTGTCAGGATCCACTGGGTCTTCCCGAGGTGCTGAATTATTTAGTTGGGGCACCTGGGTCTTTCTGAGATGGGTAGAGGACGCTACTCCATAATTTAAAAGGTCCCTATGCCAGCGGCTTCCGGGGAGGAGGGGATTGGGTCACGCTTCACTGAGCAGGGCCTAGGCCTTGGTCTGATGAGAGGAAGTAAGTCCTGCAGCCTTTGCAGCCGGGGCAGGACCTCTGCAGAAAGGCTACCATGGACTGTCACATCTGGACAGAGCTTGAGTTGACAGGCAGAACCACCCATAGTTAAGGAGTTACATGGTAAGACTGGGCTCAGAAGCTGCCTTGCCCAGAAGGTATGCTCTTCAGAAAGGGCCCGCAGGTGTGTCATCCTGGCCTCTGATGTTTGGACTTTGATTAGGTGATGTCACCTTGACACATGCCAGGATCTCCATCAGACTGGTCTCTAGACAGGTCTGTGGGCATTTTCTTATTAACGACTGATGTACGAGGACCCAACCCACTTTGGGTAGGGCCACCCCTGGGCTGTGGTCCTGAGCTGTTCAAGGAAGCTGGCTGAGCAGCCCGTGGTGAGCAGCATCCTCCGTGACTTCTGCTTCATCCTGCCTCCAGGTTCCTGCCTTGGCTTCTCTCAGTGGATCGTGGGGTATGTAAGTCAAATAAATTTTTTTCCTTCCCAAGTTGCTTTGCTTTTGGTCATGGTCTTTTTTTTCTCTGTAGCTTTGGAGCCTGTCCTGGTACTTACTCTGTAGCCCAGGCTGACCTCGAACTCAGAGATCTGCCTGCCTCTGCCTCCCGAGTGATGGGATTACAAGGCGTGCACCACCACCACCCAGCTTTGGTCATGTTCTTTATCACAGCAATAGAAACACAAGGCAATCTTCCCTTCTTAGAGGGCCCAAGAGTCAATGAATACTAAGTTCTTTGGGTGTGGGTCCCTTCTCTATCCAAGGAAGAGACCATAATTGCATGCCCCTGCTTTGCTAGAAACCAGTGCAGAAGATGCCTCGGGCCTACACCCTATGAGAACTTGGCTCCCAACAGAAGATTACTTGGTTTGCCTGCATATTTTTGAGGTCTTGTAGTTTAGTTGGCAATTATTAGTGATGGCAGTCCTTACCATGGAGCCTTTACAGGACAGTCGGTTAGTAGGCTCCAAGATGTGGAGTTGCCTTAACTCACACACTGGGAATCAGTACTGGGTAAGAACCCAGCCAATGTGGGCCAGAGGTGTGTAGAAGGACCAGGATTCATCTGCTCTGAATCTGCAGACAGTTCCTTAAGCCATTTTGATCTTGGAGTTCTGTCAGCTTGTGGCAAGCATCCTTGAGAAACCTTAAACACCTCAGAGTGCGGTTTTAGAAAGTTCCAGGAGAGACTACCTCAGCCTGTAATGAGTTAGGGTCTCACTTTGTCTCCTGGCCTGGAATTTGCCCTGGCTGACTTTAAACTCAGTGGTAATCATGCTGTCTCCGCCTACCAAGACCAAGTTTCAAGCACGTGATACCATATCTGGCATTTAAAGTGTAGATTACAATTTACATACTCTGTTTTTTGTCAGAGATCATAGTCCTTAAAGTGTGTGTGTGTGTGTGTGTGTGTGTGTGTGTGTGTGTGTGTGTAGTTTGGATGCAAGGTCTTATTCTGTAGCCCAGAGCATCCTGGATCTCACTGTGTTTTCTAGGCTGGCCTTGAACTTGCATTAGTCCTCCTGCCTCAGCTTCTACACCATCAGCCTCCATGCTTGTCCCTGAAAGGGGGCAAGGGGAATGGGTCAGAAGCCCAGAAATCATAGAGCATGACCTCAGATATTGTCACACTGTACTAACTACCCGTTTTTGGTTTTTTATTTTGGTAGGTAGATTTTTCTGTCCCTCCTACCAGCTCCCAGATCATGTCACAGAGACTTATATAAGCTTGGCCAATAGCTTAGGTTTCTTTCTTTCTTTCTTTCTTTCTTTCTTTCTTTCTTTCTTTCTCTCTCTCTCTCTCTCTCTCTCTCTCTCTCTCTCTCTCTCTTTCTTTCTTTCTTTCTTTCTTTCGTTTTTTTGAGACAGGGTTTCTCTGTGTGTAGCCCTGGCTGTCCTGGTACTCGCTCTGTAGACCAGGCTGGCCTCAAACTCAAGAGGCCTGTCTCTCTGCCTCTTGAGTGCTGGGATTGAAGGCGTGTGCCACTGCCTGGCTCAAGGTTTGTTTCTGACTAGCTCTTACAACTTAATTTAACCCATTTCTATTAGCTTACTTTTTGACTTGTGGCTTTATTTCCTTTACTCTGTAGTACCTGTGCTGCTGTCCTGCTTCCTCCATCCCTGCCTCCACCCTCATTCCCATCGTCCTCTCTGCCCCGAAAATCCTGCCTAGCTATTGGCTGTTCAGCTTTTTGTTATAATCAGTCCGAGTGACAAATCTTCACAGTGAACAAAAAGATTATTCCACATGCTTTTTAAGGGAGAGGCTGTGGACGGTCAGTGCAAGGCCGTGTATGTGGCTGTGCTCTGCCACTGGCTCGCACCCTGGCTTCTTACAAGCCACTGAAGACGCAGACCCTGAGTCTGCCATCCTAACACTCTTCATTTTGTTTCGAGACGGTCTTGCTCACTGAGTAGCCTTGACTGCCCTGGAACTTGCTATCTAGATGAGACCGAGATGTGGCTGCCCCTGTCTTCTCGGTGTCACCAGCGACTGAAACCCTCTGAGAAGCCACTAGGAAATCTCAGGATTCTAGCAGCAGGAGGAACAGGATCATACATTCCTGTCCTGATGTGGAGTTTACCATGGTTACATATGCTGTCTCTTGTGGTCACTGTAAAAGTCCTTTGAAGCATGAAAGGTATTTTCATCTACTTTTTGTAGCTATGGAAACTGAAGGCAAAAGCTCCCATGGGAAACTGTCAAGATAGGTCTAACAGGTAAAGGTGTTTGCCACCAAGCCTGACATCCAGAATTTTATCCTTGGGATCCATAGTGGAAAAGGAGAACCAACTCCTTCAAGTTGCCCTCTGACCTCCGCACGTGCATTCTGGCATGTGTCCACATCCACTAATAAATACATGTTTTTTCAAAATCCCACAGAGGGAGATGGCTCGATGGGCAAAGCACTTGCCTTGCAAGCGTAAGGACCAGGGTTCAGATCCCAGAACTCATGTAAAATCTGGATGGCTGCAGCAGTCTACTGTAATCCTAGCACTGAGAAGGCAGAAGAGGGGCTATACCAGCAAGCTATACCAGGTGCAACAGCAGACCTTACCTCAGTAAGAATCGCAGAAAACCACCAAGCAGCTAAGAGCACTTGCTAGTGCAGAAGACCTGAATTCTATTCTCAGCAGCCACTTTAGGTGGCTCACACACACTTAAAACTCCACTCTC